TTCTAGTTAGTAAAACCGAATGATTACTGACTGACACAAAGGTTTCAGTCCATTTCAGTGGCTTTTAAATTAGAAAGAAAGCTTGACCTATGGATCAAGATTTCTAGGACTGTAAAATATTCTCTTGTAAGTTTGGAAAGAGAAGATTTATACATAGATGCTTAATAATCCTTTTTATCACCCATTTGTTCTTTTAGGAAATATAATCTTAATCCTGCTTGCAACCTTTAAGGAAACTACATGTGTTGTTTTAAAAATATAAAGGCCGGGCGGTGGTGGCGCACACGCCTTTAATCCCAGCACTCGGGAGGCAGAGCCAGGCGGATCTCTGTGAGTTCGAGGCCAGCCTGGTCTCCCAAGTTAGTTCCAGGAAAGGCGCAAAGCTACACAGAGAAACCCTGTCTCGAAAAACAAACAAACAAAAAAAATTAATTAATTAAAAAATATATGTATAAGCAGCACTGTTACTAGGGTCATGAGACACGACAAAATCCAGCACTGGAGCTTTATTAGGGGGAAGTGAGGAGGGGACAGCAGAAAGTGTGGCCAGGCCTGGGGGAGACACACATGCAGGAGAGAGAGAGTCGGGGGAGGGAAGAGCAGAGAGAAGAGAGGGGAGGAGTCTGTGTCCGGCTTTTTAAGAATTCCCCTGCACATGCGCAGGTGGGCTGAAGGAGTTATGCCACACATGCGCTGATTGTGCGACTGTGCTGCACGCACTTGCGCGATCACGCAACGCACTGATGACACAAGACGTCAGCCCCTTGCTTAGTTACTGAATTGCTCACATGTGGTCATAATAGCTGGAGTGGCAGAATCCTATTTTAATATTAGGGAATAAATCCCAGTTCTATCCATGAAAAACTTGGTTGACTTTAATATGCCTACTGACCACTGGCACAGTCCTCATGGTGTTTTTCAAAGATCTATGCAATGTATTTTTATCTCCATTTACAATGTGAAATCCCCAATGTTCTTTAGCATAGATAAGGTCACACTGGTTTGTGGTAGTTCGAATGTAATTTACCCCCATAATCTCATAGGGAGTGGCACTATTAGGGAATGTGGGTTTGTTGGAGGAAGTCTGTTACTGTAGTAGGGGCAGGCTTTGAGGTTTCCTATCCTCAGGATACCACCCCGTGTGTTAGTCAACTTCCTGTTGTCTGTAAGATGTAGGACTCTCAGCTACTACTCCAGTATCACGTCTGCCTGTACACTGCCATGTCCCACCATGACGATAATGGACTAAACTTCTGAAAATGTAAGCCACCAGCTCAATTAAATGTTTTCCTTTATAAGAATTGCTGTGGTCATGGTGTCCTTTAATGATTCAGCATCACTTACTGTGATGACGTTCTTCTTTTCCAAATCAGTATTCAGTTTCAGGTAAACCTTCCAGTCACCAAAGAGTGGGCCTGCTGGTTAATTTTCAGAAACCTTCTTATTAGAACTGACTCCTATATCTGACTATATTACCAAGCCAGTGTCTTAGGGTTTCTATTGCTGTGAAGAGACACCATGACTACAGCAACTCCTATAAAGAAAACATTTAATTGGGATGCTCGCTTATCATTTCTGAAGTTCAGTCCACTGTCAACATGATGGGGAGCAGGGCAGTGTACAGGTAGACATGGCACTGGAGTAGTAGCTTAGAGTCCTACATCCGACAGACAACAGGAAGTCGACTGATATACTGGGTGGGATGCTAAGCATAGGAAACCTCAAAGCCCGCCCCCACGGTGACACGCTTCCTCCAACAGGCCCACACCCACTCTACCAAACTTGATATCTTCCTGATAGTGTCACTCCTTATGAGATGATGCAGGCCAATTACATTCAGACTACCATACCCTGTAATAGCACATGTTACAGGCATTTCAGCAAAAGCATCAACCAAAAATTTTTACAAAGGCCATGTTGGGTGCATATGATCAAGATACACAGTTTACATGTATGAAATTGTTGATAAATAAATAAAATATGTACTACTAAAACAAACACACATAAAAGGAATCTTGAGGCTGAAGGTGTAACTCAGTGGTTGACTGCTTGCTTAGAATACTTAAAGACCTTAGGTTTGATCTCCAACATGAAAGAAAAGGGAGGAAGAAAAGAGAAGAGGGAGGAAGGGAGGAAGGGTCTTATTCTCCTATAACCCCTAATCACCTAATTTATAAAAGTTAGGAAATTGTTTCCACCCTGGTCAGCCTCAGACAGCTACCTATGTAAGCAACACTAAATGGACACATGGAGCTGTGTTTATACATACACTTGTACATATATATCTAACAGGAAGAGGCCATGAATTTGAGAGGGAGTCGGAGCCACACAGGAGGAGTTGAAGGTGGGAGAGGGTGGGATACAAATTATGTAAATATAGTACTCCATGTATGGAATTCTCAAGAAAAATTCAAAAAATATTTCGAAATATTTCTTCTAGTTGGGAAGAGGAAGGAGATGAGCAAGAGTGGGGAAAGCAAAGAGGGGGTTATATGGTCAAAAACCATCATATAGATGCACAAAAGTGCCATAATGAAACTATTCATACATAACTAATATACACTAGTAAACACTTCAACCACCTAGGGCATTAGTGAGCCCCACTTTCGGGTGGGTCAGTGAAGGCATTTCCAGGTAGGATTAACTAAAGAGGGGAGACACACGTGACTGAAGGGAACACCATCCCATGAATTAGTTCCAGATAAATAAGAAAGGAAGAAGGAGATATTTAGTTGACTGCCAACATTCCCACTTATCTGCTTTCTGCTCTACCCAGACACACAGAATAAAGATAGCCTGGATAAGTACTCAAGATTTTGTGGCATTCTGAAAGAGAAGAGAATAATCAGCTCCAATCTACAAGAATGAAGTGATTTCTCAAGACACTTGGGTTCTCAAGGCAGGCTGTGTTCTATAATCACTTAAGGATTTTTTTTTTTTTTTTAAGCAACGATGTAGTAGCATGCCCATGAAACAATAGATTCAGATACTTTAGGGTGGAGTGCAGGCCACTGCACATGTCAAAAGCTTGCCGGGCTCTTCTAATTGTGTGCCCAGAGACGGGAAGCATTGATCTAAATGAAAAAAACCTGAAAGTTAACAGATGGGATGTAAATGTGCTGGATCCAATGAACTGAGATGCAGGTGGCTTTGAATGTAGTAATTTCATCCTGTGATTAAGAGGCAGAGGAAGAAAGACCTGCATAATCCAAGAAGCAGAGTAAACGTGGGGACACCTGGTGTTTTGTCTGTGGAGGACCAATAGGAGATAGGCTAGAAGAATTTATTTTAATAAATACATGAATAAATAAATTCTTTTAGTCTTGCTTTGCAAGGGATGAAAGTGAGTCTCACAGAAGTAAAATTAACCATGGACTTTGCTTAAAAATAGACGAGTAAACATTTATTAAATCAAACTGTTTATTTTTTATTTTTTTCCAAGTTGGTTTTGAAACAAGCAATAGAATATATTTGCTTGAACTACAGATCACTGTCAATTTTTGCGGTCAAAACTCACACATGAGGGCTGGGAATAGAGCTTAGTAGGTGAGCACCTGTGTAGTGTGAGGCCCTAAATTCGATTCTCAGCACTGAGAGTGGGATTGGGGGGACAGCATCATGGAGGAATACAGGCAATTTTACACAGCTTATTCAAACGCATTCCTATGGTGATATTTTACTTTGTACTAAAATGTTAATTGTATGTTAATAAATAAAGTTGCCCAGGGGTCAGAGCTATTAGAGCCATAGCAAGAGCGTGGCGGTGGTGATGCACTCCTTTAATCTCAATACCATAGAAGACTTGGAAGTCTCCACAGACAGGCAGTGATGAGGCAGTCATGTGTTTGGGTTTACAGCCAATGAGAAGGCAGAACAGAAAGTCTATATAAAGTCAAACAGACAGGAAGTAGCTTTTTTTCAAAGAGGTCTCTTGGCGGAAGAACTAGCTGCAGCAGGAAGGGTAAGGCTCTTAGCTCTGATCTCTTGGCTTTCTTCTTTGCATTGGTTCTGTGTTTATTATTTAACAAGACAGTTGGTTACATTTACACATTCCTATCCCATAGTTTCATGGTTCTTACCCACCTGCTGCTTCTGACAATTTTCCACTGGAAGTATAACTGTGTCCTCACCTTTAATTCTCCTAGAATCTTTCTCCAGGCACTAAGTCTAACACCACAATCACCTATATCACTATATCTACTTGTATTTCTTCTTACTTACCTCATATCAGCAAGTATTTCCACTTGATAAAAGGTGTAAACCAAAGAAGCCAAATAAGGTATTTCTCCTGATAAGTATAGATGGATAAACCTTTTGAAGACTATCAACTATAGCAGAGGGAACTGGCGTTGCCTACTCAGCTTCCAGATTTAAAACAAGAGTAAAACTTACTCCAAAGTAACTGAAGCAAAACCTTTGAACTTCGTGTCTAAGTTCATTAACAACAGCAGGTGGGAAGTGCAACCCTTTCTCCACACAGTTTCCCCTGCAAGATGCTCTGCTTGGCTTGGTCAGCACTATTATGCCAAGAATGTCTCAATTTGATTGTCATCTAATTAACTCAAGGTTATATTCAGTGATATTCACTTTTATCCCACCTTAGAGTCTTGAACAATCTCCACGAGGTCAAACCTGTGTCTAACTTATTCAGACCTTCATCAAGAGTGCCCAGCACAATACACAGTATGAGACACAGATCTATGAATGGTTTTGAAGGAATGGTTATAATTCTAAAAGTAGAAGCTGATGTAGTCATAAACCAAATCATGACTTGTTTTCCAATCCCAGCTTGCTGATAACTGGGTATGTGATACTGGAAAAGTCAGGTAAACGTCTCTGCACTTCCATCCTTTACCTCATTAGTAAAAGGAGCCATGGAATCCCACCACTCGTCACCTCTGTCATTTTAGTGCCCGGAAAGAAGTACAATCAATCCTGGGCGGGGTCATCTGCACTCTGGTTATTTGCTCTGTGTGCTCATTGCTCCTTTCTATACTTACTCCAGCAGGTATCCGGAAAGATCAGGCAATGCAAGTTACAAAGACTTCTCCGAAGGTGATTGATTTCCTCTGGCCACATGAGGGTCTGCAACAGTATGGATCATACAGCTGAAGTCTCCGTGTGCTGAAATTATAATCCTTTGTACACTGTCCAATTTGATTTAGGAATAATTTCTCAAGCCTGTTTCCTATTGTGAATTCCATATTTTCCTCACAATTCAGTAAAAATTCAATTTTCTCTGAAACAATGGAGAAAAACTAAAATTTTCAGTGAAAAGCTGATATTTTCCTCCAAATATATATCTACTCTTCCTTCTGGAAGGATGAAAGAAAACATCTTAACAAGTTCTCAGATATTTGTATTTCCCAAGGAGCTCCATGCTCTTACAGAAGCCTGTTTAGGAGCCAGGAAAGAGAACTTGGGGAATTTTAGTTCAAATGTCTCCAAGAACCAGATCTAACTCTGTCTTTGTGGAAAGATTATCATCCATCCATAATTGGTAAATGGTTATGTGTCCCAGGATTCCACTCTGTTCTATGGAAAGTAACTCTAAATACCACAGCTCTCCCCTAACCCCCAAACAATACGTCAACTTCATATTCCTTTTTTGTCAGGTTATAAATTAGATAAAAGGACTATAATCCAGGAGGAAGGGAGAGGGAAAAAAAACTGAAAGAAAAGGGCATGGCAAACTGATTTTAAGAAGGAAACAACAGCCGGGCAGCAGTGGCACACGCCTTTAATCCTAGCACTCAGGAGGCAGAGAAAGGTGGATCTCTGTGAGTTCAAGGCCAGCCATGAGCTACCAAGTAAGATTCAGGACAGGCTCCAAAACTACACGGAGAAACCTTGTCTCGGAAAAAAAAAGAAGGAAACAAGAGCTTGGACTGAAAACACTGACCATGCAGATAACAAAGAGGATGTAGACGCTTTGTTTCATAAGGAAGCTTGAACATTTAAGTTGGTGACATGTTTTAGAACATTTACATGACATTTATGGAATAACTGTGGAAATACCAGGAATGTCACTGTCCCAGTCAGTTACTGAGGTATGGCACTACTGTGCAATAGGTTGTCCAAACCTTAGTGGCTTAAAAGGAACGCCATTTTATTACACAGTAGGTCTTGGGGTTGGGACTTCAGAGAGGATTCAGCCGGGTAATGCTTTAGCTCCCTGATGTACTGATTGCACTTAGATAGGGTATTTGTGGCATATAGGCTGAACAAGGGGTGCAGTGTATCTTCCATATGTGTCTGGCATTATGGCAAGGAAGACAGGCAAGCTGAGCTCAGGCAGGACCTCTGTCAACCAAAGAATTTGCACTAGCCAGGGGGTCTCTAATACTTGTACTTTTAAAAATGCCTGTTTTATTTTTAAGTTATGTGTATGTCTGTGCACAAGTGCAGGTGCCTGAAGAACCCAGAAGGGGCACTGGATATCCTGGAGCTGGATTTACAGACAGTTGAGAGCCACCCCACCATGGTGCTGGGATGCGAACTCACGTCCTCTGTAAGAGCAGAAAGTCTCTCGGGTCCTGCTTGCAGTGTTAAAGGGCTTAGTGCACTTGCAGAAGGCTTTCTAGGAACAAGCACTTTGTTTCTCCCTTAGCTCTTTTGAGACCCAGTCTTGTATGTAGCCAAGATTGACCTTAAACTCATGATCATCGTGACAGCCTTCTAAATGCATGGCCTGATTACAGGTGTGTGCCATGACTCTAAACTTCGTTTCTGTCACTTCTTAATGTCCAAATGATCATCAAGCCACAACTGGTCACTCTAGCTCTGACCTAACCTCTTGCTGGTTATGTATTTAACATGTATTCAAT